TCCCGCGACCTGCTGCCCACGCTGCTTTGGATGCAGCCCAGGACACAATTTGCTTTCTGGGCTGCCAGCGCATGTTGCCAGCTCATGTTGAGCTTCTCATCAACCAACAGCCCAAAGTCCTTCTCAGGGCTGCTCTCAATCCATTCTCTGCCCAGCCTGTACTTGTGCTTGGGATTGCCCCGACCCACATGGCAGGACTTTGCACTTGGCCTTGTTGAACTCCATGAGATTCTCACAGGCCCACCTCTCCAGTCTGTCCAGGTCCCTCTGGCTGGCATCCCTTCCCTCCAGCGTGTCCACAACACCACACAACTTGGTGTCATCTGCAAACTTGCTGAGGGTGCACTCGATCCCACTGTCCACATCGCCGATAAAGATGTTAAACAGCACTGGACCCAGTACTGACCCCTGAGGAACACCACTCGTCACTGGTCTCCACTGAGACATTGAATCGTTGACCACAACTCTTTGAGTGCGACCATCCAGCCAATTCTTTATCCACCGAGTGGTCCATCCATCAAATCCATGTCTCTCCAGTTTAGACACAAGGATGTCGTGTGGGACAGTATCAATTGCTTTTGGACAAGTCCAGGTAGATGATGTCAGTTGCTCTTCCCCTATCCATCAATGCTGTAACCTCATCATAGAAGGCCACCAGATTAGTCAGGCAGGATTTGCCCTTAGTGAAGCCATGTTGGCTGTCACCAATCACCCCCTTACTTTCCATGTGCCTTAGCATAGTCACCAGGAGGATCTGCTCCACGATCTTGCCAGGCACAGAGGTGAGACTGACTGGCCTGTAGTTCCCTGGGTCTTCTTTTTTTCCCTTTTTAAAGATGGGGAATATGTTTCCCCTTTTCCAGTCGGTGGGAACTTCCCCGCACTGCCACAACTTCTCAAATACAATGGATAATGGCTTAGCAACTTCATCTGCGAGTTCCCTCAGGACCCGTGGATGCACCTCATCAGGCCCCATGAGTCCCCCAGGCTCTGCACTCACCTTCTCAGTGGTGATGTCCGTCTCAGCGTCATGCCGCTTCTGCGTGAAGATGATGTTGAACACGGCGTGGGAGCGACTGCTGGTCTCATTCATGTTGGTGGCAGCCACCGTGCTGGAGGGAGAGGAGGACAGGAAGGTATGACACTCTGCAGGGGACACTGGAGAGGCTGGCGATGGGGTCAGGGCTCATTTCAGGAACAGGTATATGATGGCAAGTCAAGTCTGGAGGACATGAGAGGACTCTGGGAGGAGATGTGCAAATCTCCAGGCTTTCTCCTGCTGGCTCCAGAGTATTTAGAGCAGCAGGAAGGAGGTAAGGTGAAAATAAGTGGGAGGTACCCAATGCTCAGACAGGAGGGGACTGCTACCTCCAGAGCAGCCAGACCAGGAAATCAAGGAAACTAAGCAGGACTTTCTAGAGATGTCTGCAAGCTCTCCACATCCTGGCCATCTCCTGCTCCCCCAACTCACCGGGCCTTGTTCCCAGAGTCCATGAGGTCCTGGATGTCGTTGTAGGAGGTCACAGCCAGCTTGGAAAGGTCCTCAACATATGGGCCCATAAGGGGATGCTCCCTCACCCGCAGGTTCCCCTTGTTCTTGGGGTTCAGGAGGTCCCTCACACGCTCACAGTATATCTCCATGTAGCTCACCTAGAGCAGAGGGCAAGGGCAGGGCTAGCAGCCAGCAGGACATGTATGCTCCGCGTGTAGGCAGAATCGGGTCCTGCCTGCCCACCCCACCCCACCCCCAGGGACAGGACCCCCCCAAAGAGAGGTCTGCACACCAGCATGGCTTGCAGAGCTGGGTTGGAGGCTGGAGCCGGACTAGGGAGGCAACAGGGTGCCTACCTCCACCGAGTAGGACATGTTGTCGTTCGTCGTGTCGTTGATGCGGGAGAAGAGGTCCTCGCACAGCTGCGGAGAGAAGGGCCAGGCTGCTCAGCACCCCCACCAGAAGGATACTCCTGCCTGGGGTGCCCAGGCCACATGGATTTCTACCTCCTCACCCCAAAAAACAGAGCCCCAGAGCACCGAGATGGCTCCTGGGGAGCTGGCAGAACCCCCCTGGTGATATGGGGAGCTCAGCACCCCCAGAGCCCCCCCAGCACCCTGCTGGGCCTGCGCACGGCAGCTCTCGGCAAGCACAGCCAGCAGGGGCTGGGCACTTGGTCAGCCTGTAATGCATCGGTCTTGGAGGAGTCTGGTGTGACCCTCCGTGTCCCCCCACCCTCCAGGGCTGTGGTAGACCTTGGTGAAGAACCCCCCTGGTGATATGGGGAGCTCAGCACCCCCAGAGCCCCCCCAGCACCCTGCTGGGCCTGCGCACGGCAGCTCTCGGCAAGCACAGCCAGCAGGGGCTGGGCACTTGGTCAGCCTGTAATGCATCGGTCTTGGAGGAGTCTGGTGTGACCCTCCGTGTCCCCCCACCCTCCAGGGCTGTGGTAGACCTTGGTGAAGCCTGGCCCCGCTCCCGCCCTGCTCCATTCTTCCCTCTCTTCTCCACTTTTCCTTTGGGCAACTCGCTGGGATGAGCGGAACCGGCAGCTTTTCACCATGTGGTACCTGCGGGATGATGCCTTGCTGGTCCTTCTCCTGCTTCCCCATCATGGTGTAGGACTTCCCGGCACCCGTCTGCCCATAGGCGAAGATGCAGACGTTATAGCCTTCGAAGGCATGTTGCAGCATCTCCTCACCGATGTCCCGGTACACTTGCTTCTGAGATGCATAGTTGATGTCTGCGGGCTGCAAGAGAGGAAGGGGACAAGGAGAAATTCAGCACGGAGGTCCTCCTGCCTCTCCCCAGCCCAGTGCTCCAGGCGGGCTCAGGCATCCCGCTGCTTACCGTGGTGTGGGACCAATAGGAATAGTCAAAGCTGAAGCTTTTCGGTGTCTCTTTGGGCTGCTTCGGGTTCAGGATAGCTAGGGACAAACAGATTGGAGCATGAGGCCACCCGTGGTACCCCCACCACCCACTTGTGAGGGGAGAAGGGTGACGGTGTTCAGTCCCAATTGGTCCTGGAATGCAGGACCAGGACCCTCCAGCTTCCCAGATGGGTCCAGAGCCCCTGGACCCCAACAGTCCCAGCAGAGGAGGTGGGTGCCACGGCCAGCATAGCCTGCATCAGCCCAGGGAGCAGGGCAGAGCCGTGGCCCAGCATCCAGCTGGGCACCGCGTGGGGAAACAGCTCCTTCCCTCAGGCTCCTTCCTGCTTTGGCACCTGCCCATGGGAGCCCGGCACTGGCACCAGCACCAGTGGATCCCAGCCCTCCTTCACCCCCCAGCTGGGGGGCCATGCCCAAAGCCCCACGCGTTGGTGCTGTGGGTACCCAGCCCCAGCAGGGTGATTAATGCCTCCTGTTACACTGCCAGCGGAAACAAGAGCCTGCTTTTTCCCATCCCTTGGCGAAAAGGACGTTGCCATGGAAATTGGAGACTGCATCACTTCTCTTCCTCGCTCCTCGCTCCCCCCCGCCCCGCAGAGCGTTTATGACAGGTTTTTTTCTGAAACAACAGATGCGTCAGAAGAAACCCAAACCAGCAGCGTAATCACGAGATCCAGCCATCAGCCACGGTAGGCAACATTGAAATGACCTTGCGGGCTGGCACATCACAGCTCCCGTGCCCGCAGCTCCCAGCTGCTCCGTGCCACCGCTGGGGACGAGGAGGCCGGACAGCACCAAGGCTGACGGAGCTCCCTCCGTCGCAGCCCCGACCTGCCCTGCCTGGGGCTGGTGCTCGGCCAGGGCTCACGCCCACTGGGGATCCGAGCTGGGACCTTCTCAAGCAGCCCCAGTCATGGAGCAGCCCGATCCCTGTGGGGTCAGATGCCCTGGTGCGTGGTATTACGGCTACAGATGCTTTCTGTGCCAAATTTCTCCTCTGTTGCCACGACGGATTCTCCCTCAGGTGGGATCCACCACTTCTGGCCACAGGCTCATCCATCCCTGCCCACAAAGACAGCCAGGCGGGCAGGTGGATGGTGGGAAGCGGGGTCAGGATCCAGCCCCGACTGCGAAACCGCAGCACGGTGCTGCTTGGATGCCCGTCGCTGCAGGCAGGAGCCCAGCTCCAGCACCGAGGGGTCGGACACCGGATCCCTGCCCGCCTGCCCACTGGAGACACCATGACTCAGATGCTCCGGATGCCTTCTGCATCCCAGGCAGTCTAATTACCAAAGCCAGAGCTGCTCTCCCAGGAGAAAGGGCTGGGAAGTGACACCTTGGCAGCATCCTGCTCTTGGCTTGGGTCTGTCTCTGCCCTGCAGAGGTGACTATTCCTATTGACAGGTGCCCTGCAGAAGTGAACAGCATTAGCACCCCCAAAAAATGAGTCCAATGGGGCAAAAGCAGGATGGGGCCACATGAGGTGGCTGTTCTGCATCCCAGTGCCAGCCCATGCCGGGCACGGGGCGGAGGGGCAGCTGGGGGAAAAAAAAAGGCATCCCAGCTGCAGCCGCCCAGCTGGCCTGGCAGGCTGGAGATCAGGACACAGGGCAGAAGGGAGCACACCGAGAGCAGCGGGGCTCCTATCCCTGAGCTGAAACACTCTCCCCATTTCATTCCCCTTTAGTTGACCCTGGGGGGCTGGATGCCAGTGGTGGGTTTTTTTCTCTCCTGTGCCCAGGCATCCCGGGGCTTTTGCAAAGCTGCTGCAAAAGATCAGCGCTCTGGCCGAAGGGGATTAAAAGGGGCAGGGGGGGAAGAAAGACATACGGACAAGAGGGGGAGGAGGAAAACATCTGGTGATGACCCTTGTCTTTGCCCTGAAGAGCCAGCAGCATGGCAGAGTGCAGAAAGCAGGCAAGCACCCAGCAGGATAAAGCCCAAGACCCGCAGGAGGGACAATAATCGCTGTATTTTAAAGCCGGCGAAGGCACGGCTCCGGCTGGGGGAAATTAAAGGGCGTTGGGGG